GCGGGGGTCACCTTGGGGCTGAGGAGGGAGGGGTGGGGCGGGAGGCCCTTGCGCTGCCTGGACTCCCGGGGGTGGGTCCTGGTTCCTGAGGAGGTAGCGGCACGTGGGGCTCCTGCCTGGGGCGACGGGAGGTCCTCCCCGTCCCCCGAGCTCTCCTGGCAGGGGCAGGGGACAGGGGGGGCTGGGGATTCCGGGGGCCGCCTGGGCCTGCTCATCACCCCCCACACCTCGCACCCGCTCCCGCCTGGAGGAGGGTGGTGAAGACATGGGGGTGGGCTCCTCGGGGCAGCTGCTCCCCGCCCTGGGCACAGCCCTTGATGGAGACTCAGAAGCCACAGCGGACAGAAGCCTGGGCCCCGGGGGGCCCCCTCCGCCCTCTGCTGGGCTCTGGGGCTGCACCCGCCCACCCCCGGGGCAGCCGCTCCCAGGAGCCTTTCCAGCGCCCTGGGGTGCTGACTCAAAGCCTCTGTCCCCCTGGTTTCCTGCCCCGGGGGCCTCAGCTCCCACACCAGCAGGCAGGTGGGCCCCCCTGTTGGGCGCCAGCAGGCCTTTGGCGCTTTCCTCTCCACTGGAGGCTGGCTCAGGGGGTTCTGGGGTCTCCGAGGCATCCTCATGGGGGCCCGGGCTCTCCGAGGCATCCTCATGGGGACCCGGGGTCTCTGAGGCATCCTCTGGGAGGTCCAGGGTCTCTGAGGCATCCTCTGAGGGGTCTGGGGTCTCTGCAGCATCCTCTGGGGGGTCCGGGGTCTCTGAGGTATCCTCACGGGGACCCGGGGTCTCCGAGGCATCCTCTGGGAGGTCCAGGGTCTCCGAGGCATCCTCTGAGGGGTCCGGGGTCTCTGAGGCATCCTCACGGGGACCCAGGGTCTCCGAGGCATCCTCTGGGGGGTCCGGGGTCTCTGAGGCATCCTCACGGGGACCCGGGGTCTCCGAGGCATCCTCTGGGAGGTCCAGGGTCTCCGAGGCAGCCTCTGAGGGGTCCGGGGTCTTCGAGGCATCCTCACGGGGACCCTGGGTCTCTGAGGCATCCTCACGGGGACCCGGGGTCTCTGAGGCATCCTCTGGGAGGTTCAGGATCTCTGAGGCATCCTCTGGGGGGCCCGGTGTCTCTGAGGCATCCTCTGAGGGGTCCGGGGTCTCTGCAGCATCCTCACGGGGGTCTGGGGTCTCTGAGGCATCCTCTGAGGGGCCCGGGGTCTCTGCAGCAGTTTCTGGCGGGTCCGGGATCTTTGAGGCATCCTCTGGGGGGTCCGGGGTCTCCGAGGCATCCTCTGGGGGGCCTGGGGTCTCTGCAGCATCCTCATGGGGGTCTGGGGTCTCTGCAGCAGGCTCGGGGGGGTCCGAGGTCTCTGAGGCATCCTCTAGGGGGCCCGAAGTCTTCGAGGCATCCTCACGGGGGCCTGGGGTCTCTGAGGCATCCTCTGGGGGGTCCAGGGTCTCTGCAGCAGGCTCAGGGGGGCCCGGGGTCTCTGCAGCATCCTCACGGATGTCCTGGGTCTTCGAGGCATCCTCTGGGGGGTCCAGGGTCTTGGAGGCAGGCTCAGGGGGGCCCAAGGCTTCCTTGGAGAGGCCTGGGGTTCCCAGTACCTCTGTAGGGGTGTATGGGTGGTCTTGGATGGTCGCAGTGGGCTCCAGGATCTCCAGGGTGAAAGTGGGGCGGTCTGGGATCTTTGCGGTGTCAGGAGCCTCTGAGGTGAGTTCAGGTCTCTCTTGGGCCTCCGTGGCAGGCTCAGGGGTGTCTGAGGTTTCCAAGGCAGGCCTGGGGGGGCCTGCATCTCCACGTGAGGCCCAGGGTGTCCCCTCATCTGCAGCGAGCTCCCGGCCACCCTGGCAGGTCTGGTCCAGGTCCGGAGGCTCCAGGTCTCCAGTGCAGCCCATGCCCTTCCCCCCAGCTGTCCCCTGGGCTGCGGAGGCCATGGGCTGGGTCCTGGGGGCCCCGCCTGCGTCTTCCCTCGGGGCCTGCAGAGCAACTGGGCTGGGTGCCCTGCCCGCCCCCTGCGTGGTCTGGGGCTCAGTCCTGGGCTCGGGGGCCGGGGTAGTGCAGGCCCGTTCCTGCCAGGACCCAGGTGTGGCCCTGGGCACCGGCCCTGCTCCAGCGATGAGGCCTGCTCCTTGCCACCCAGCCTGAGCGGTCACTTCTGTGGCCCCTGAGGCTTCCAGCGAGGACACGGGGCCTGGAGCGGGGCTGGCCCCGGGGACTAACGTGCCCACGTCTCCCTCGGAGACCACAGGGCTGGCCTGCAGGGCGGCGGTGGGCTGCGCGTGGGGCTCCCCGCTGTACAGTCTCTCGTCATCTGCTCCCGGGTAGGAGGCCGAGTCCGGGTCCGAGGAGGCAGCAGAGGTGTCGTCCCAGAAGGCGAAGGCCTCGTCCACGCCCTCGGTGACTGACAGGTCGGACAGTGACCGCAGGGAGGAGGCGAAGGTGCTGTCATCCCTGTCGCTGGCCCCGTCCCCGTCAGCGGCTGGAGCCTCTGGCTCCTGCTCCTGCTGCTCCTCGGGGGACAGGGGCGTCACCTCCACCGCCTCCACCTGGAAGAGCAGGCTGCCCCGGAACGGCAGGAGGGCGGCCGGGATCATTGGGTCCTGGGCCAGGACATCCAGGTCGAAGAAGTGGCCCTCCTGTTCCCAGGAGGAGCTGCTGTCCGTGGAGAGGCTGGACTCAGGGGACGAGGATCCCGGGGACCCTGTGGGGGGCCAGTCCTGCTCCAGCGTCTCAGAACCTGGTGGGGAGAAGCCGCGGCCCGAAGGCACCCCTAGCCCTTCCTCGGGAGCCAGGCTCAGGGAGCAGGAAGGGGACGGGGACGAGGCCCAGCTCTCTGTGTCCGCGGTGACGTAGGAGCCTGAGGGTGAGGTGGGCGGTGAGTCCCCCACGGGCCTGGCTTCAGCCTGGGTGTCCCTGCAGGGCCCGGAGCTGGGGAGCAAGGCAGGGGTCTCGCTGGGAGTGGAAGGAGGTGTGAAATAGGAATCGGGGTCTGGGGCAGGAAAAGGCACAGGAGGGTCACCCCGAGAACATGACGCGGGGGAGTGCAGGCTGGCAGGCCCCCCCTCCGGGTCCCTGAGCTGTGGCGGGGCTGCCCAGGGTAGTGGGGGTGCCTGGCACGTCTCCTCCCCCATCACAATCCGGGGCTCCAGGGTGGCTGGGAGAGGCCGCTCGGCAGGCTGCCCCTCGGGGGGCCTTGGGCTGGGGCCCCCCTCCATGGGGACCGCCCAGGCTGACAGCGCCTGGCCAGGCCCCGCATCCCCGCTGGCTCCCTCAGGCGGGGGCCGGGCGCCCGGCTTGCTGAGCAGGAAGGTGAGGTCCAGGGGGCTGGGCCCAGGGGTCAGGGCACACTGCTCAGGCCGGGCCCCTCTGGGAGTGGTGGCTGCGGCCGTGTCACAGGACCCGTCTGTGGAGAGAGAAGGGCGTGAGGCGGTCTGGCACCCGCGCCCCCCAGAAGGGGTACCGCCTGGAGGGTGACAGGGAGCGGTCATCGCTATGTCGGGGAGCATTTCCGAGGTCTGACCACAGCAACCAGCTCGGGGGCTGTGTGTGGGCGCAGCTGTGGCACAGACGGGCACCCCGCTTTTCTGCAAGGTGCTCGGCAGCAATGTCGAGGCTCCCTGCCTGTGACCCTCTGCCCGCCCCTCCCGTGACCTCCGGGGTCAGAGGGCCCTGGAACATTCCACCCGGGTGGGGTCCCGTGCCTCAGCTTCCTGTCTGCAGAGGGAAGTGTCCACCAGACCTGAGGCGAAGCTCCCAAGTGGCCCTGTCCGGTGCCCATCTGCCTGCAGCAGGCCCGGCCCTGGGGCCACACTGCTGGGCGCCGGGAGGCCAGGAGGGTCCTGAAAACGGGTCCTTGGGGTCCACTGGGCTGTGACCAACACCTGGCACCTGAGGTGGGTGTGGCGGGCGGGGCGGGTGCCCGAGGCTGGGCCCCGCATGGTACCCTGACCCACCCACATCGGCCGGAGGCCCCAGGGCAGCGGGAGGGAGGAGCTGGGCCAAGGCTGCAGTGTGGGGAGGCCTACAGGTCGAGGTTGGAGGGACTGGTTCAAGGTCACCGGGCTCTGGGTCTGGGGACACCAGCCCTGTTCCCTTTTCTGGACTCAGAAGGAGGCCCGGCCCCATCCCCAGGCGCCCTGCCCGCAGCAAGGTGCCCTTGGCCCTGAGTCGCACATGGCTGACCTCCAGCGGGGCGCCCGCCCCATCAGGTCTTCCTGGACCGGGAACCCAGCACCTGCCTGGCCGCCCAGGACAAGGCCTGCCTGCGGCAAACTGCCCGCGGCCCTGACCCCCAGGACCGCCCCCCTCCACCGCGGTGCCCTCTGGCCTCCCTCCGGGACCAGTGCGGCCCAGTGGCCTGCAGGCAAGTGGGGGACAAGTGTCCCCAGACCCAGGGTCAGCTGGGAACCGCTGCCTCCGTCCAGATCCGACCCGCCCAGGCAGCTCCGCGCAGACAATGGAACGCCG